ACAAGAATAACTGGAGTCTGAATGGAGGAAGAGGCCCCTCTAAATTGGAGAGTCAGGGTAAAATGGCAAAGACAAAAGGAACCTTTTGGGCCTGAACATCAATGATTCCAAGGATTCATTACCTCCTGGGTCTCAATCACCCCCACCCGGAACCAAGGAACACTCTCCAGACACATTTCATCAAACACTCAATAATTTTTCCATAATAGCCTTTAATACTAAAATGCATTTAATTTTTGAAGCAGAGAAAACACATTTAAGGGGGAAACAGAGAACCACCAGATAAAAGGAAACAATGTGGCAGATAACACCATTTAAAACATAACTGTAATAATTTAATAAAGCTGCTTTATCATCTTCATAAAATAGACAGTGTGTTGATTCTTTTTTGTCTTTTTCTTTTTACAATGATTCAATCACTGTGAAAATGTACATAACATACAGATCAGCATATACAACAATTTCATCTTCATATAATCAGCAACAGAGACTGCTTAATGAGACATACTGTACTTGCATCCCTCTAAATTTCCACCCTGGTTTGACAGGTAAACAGTAATAGCGTCATCAGGCTCATTCCCCTCACTAGAGGAGCGAAGGCGTAAGCCTTTTGCAACTAATACCTTAGCATTCAAATAGCACGAGGAGGTATTTGTTGCTGAATTTCTAGCTTGAGCTAGTCTGGCTCTTGGTCATTAAAGTCTGTATCCTAGCCTTCCTCAGCTGAACGCCAGCCAGTGCCAGTAAAGTCTACTTGACCAGTGCTGTAATGGTGTTAGCTGGTTTCCTTGCTAACTAAGGTTGACAGTGACTTTAGGTTAGTAACAAGGTCATCTTTAATTGCCAACACAGCTGGAGCAACAGTCAGTATCATCAGTTTTCCCTAATGACCTACAATGCTTTCCAATCAAGATCAGGTGTTTGTGGGTTTTTCTTCACCAAGAGCGCCTCACAATATCTATTTCAGACAAGGTGGTTGATTTTCTTTGTTTTACAAAAGCAATATGATTCCTATTTGAAAATAATTCACTTTTGCACAACAAGTGACCCACAGGCCAATGTCAGCCTCACAAGAACACAAAGAGAGCTGCAACAACTTCATTAGGACAATGTGTTTTGCTCTGGAATATTTCATTATCAATATAAAGCCACCCAGTCCCAGCCCCACCCCCACACATCCCCTTTGAATATTACTTTGTTACATACTTAAACTAAAGAACAACATCTCAATACACTTCAGTGTCAGCAGATACAATTTGACTCATGAAATGACATCCTTAAATGTAATTTTTCCAAGAAGGCAAACACTAGGACTGTATACAATAGACTTCTTAAGCTCATTTATGCCAGTTTTTCAAAGTCAGTAAGGGTCTTATTACCCTGGGTAAAGAGCCAAGTGGACCAGACTTGTCAGAATGCCTTAGGGAGCACTCAACATCAAAATGATCCCCGTAAAATGGTCCTTGTGATTCCAGCCAGAACTGCTATTATGTACAATAATAATTTTTTCCACCTTGGATGCCCAGCTGAGCTATCCCACTTTACCCCTGCCTCTGCCCAAACAGCCCTTTATCTTCGCTGCTTCAAGTGGACCACTTTGTTTTCTTTTTAATGATATGATAGGTATATAGAAAAAAGTCATCTAAATTCCCCCATACAATCAGTCAGTCATATGTGAAGTGACACATTGGGAAAATACTCTGGGTGGTTCTGTCCAGTTTTCAGAGTTCTGAGTTGTATTTCCTTTAACATTTCTCATTAGTGACTAGTGCATCACCATCTCAAGGAATTTGTTTGAATGGGTACCTTAGGTGAAATTAGCCCTATTAAACATGTTTTCTCTAGAGCAGTGATACACAAAGTACAGTCCCATCAGCATCATCTGAGAATTTTTAGATATGCAAAGAGGGAGGCCCCATCCCAGACCAACTGAATCAGAAACTGTAAGGGCAGGGGCCCATACACCTGTGGTTTAAAAAGCCCTCAACCTTCAGTGGGCATCTGATTCATACGGATTGCCGGGCACTATACCCAGAGTTTCTGGTTCAGTTTGTCTAGGCAGGGAAATAGAATTGGTATTTCTAAGAAGGTCCCTAGTGATGTTGTTACTGATGTTCCAGGGACTACATTTTGAGAACCACTGCTCTGCAGGAACTGCAGGATCCCTTTGCCCATTACCTATTTTGGTAATAAGATGGACCATAATTTAATGTGCTGGCTTTAAGAGGATCAAAGAAATGCTAAGAACAGGTTCACAGACTAGTCAGCTTAGGGAAAGAAAAAAATAAGATACTACATTCCATCATGGCTCTCTTTTCCTATCCCTTGTTATATAGTATATTCCCCTACTTGTAGGAAAGCAATCAATCAATGCAAACTAAATCCCTTAGATTGCATGAAGAAGTTTTCTTTCCCAGGGAATTTCTGAAAACTGTTGTTTGAAAAGTATGTCAGACTCCAAAACCAAGGGATTCAGGATAAATGGAATAGAGCTCTTTAGGACTTAGGAACCAAAATTGTCCCCTCATATTTAAGTGTGTAACATGTTTTCAGAAGGAAAATAAAGAATATTTGGCCTTCTGGCCCTTGTAACTTTTCTTCAGGCATGTTTAAAAGGAGGAAAAAACATTGGGCAAAGAGAGATTTAGGATTCTTGCACAAATTCACTATTTGCAGGCACAGCCTGCCTGTAAAATCAGCTTACAAAGCCCTCCTAGGATGCACTTGCACTTCTGGGAGGACGCATAAATCAGAAAATTGTAGGGGAAAAAAAGATATTTTCTTAATGAGAGGAATCCTGTGAACATGCTCAGTAAAGGCTATGGAAGCCAAAAAAAAAACTCTGACTGCCCATTGAGAAGAAAGTATTTGGATAGGGAAAAGGGATAGTTTCACAGCTTAAAACTGAATTCTGGGGAAAAATGAAGGCGAAAGAAAACTCAATAAAAACAGCAGTATCAACGCCACTGCTACTCTAACCATTTTAAACTTGGTTGGCAAGAGGCATGGCAGTCATTGGAATCTCTGATTCAGCAGCCATATAACATTCCATAGTCTTGCACACCTGTAGAAAACTGTCAAATCTGACGTAAAAGTGACCTTGAGGTGGTAGCTAACAACATAATATAAGGATGGGTCAAGGTAAGGAACAGTCTAAATTCTATAGGCAGCCATCATAACTTAAAGGGGAAACTTTCATTTTTAATATGTTAATCAAATAGTCACTTGCAAAAAGAAATAAATACCTATTTCAGAATCTAACAAAATGAAATAAATCATAAGAGGAGAAATTATATGAAACAGAATGAAATGAGGCAAAATAAAGATGTTATGGTAAATTGATCTCTATTTGTGTCAGTTTCAGAGGGAAATTTGCAGCCACACCAATATTTTGCATGAGGTAGTATTCAGCACTGAATAAGAAATAAGAATGGATTTGTAGCTCATTATAGGTTCTTCCTCAGAAATGTTCTCCCCTACCTAACCCCACCCCCACTGCTTTACCCACCCTCCTCCCTCAAAACCCTTCCCCCTCCCATAAAAGAAAATATTCCTAGTAATGTACAAAGCTAGAAACTCAGGCAAAAATAGCTAAAACATTTAAAAGACATGACCTTATTTACCTAAACTTAAGAAAATAAATTATCTTTTGCATTCTAGTACTCTAACCTAGGGCTTCTTTCTGGGTATTCCTGAATTTCAAAAAAAATGAAACAGCAGATCCACAAAACTTGTTTCTCAAGAAACAACTCTTTTAAGACCAAGGCAGAGCAAAGGTAACATATTTCTTGAGTTTTTATTTCTAAAGAATGAACTCTTAGGCTGCAAGAATACTATGTTGGCTAGTGAATATTAATAGACAAATTATAAATTGTGGATTTAGAGCAATGTTAAAACAACAACAAAGAAGAAATGTGCAGTCTGTTAATAAAAAAGGTGTATTCCTAGCCTACAGCAAAAAGAGTTAGCTAAATCTAAAGGATTTTTGTTTTAATAATTTCTTGTTCACATTTTTAATCAAAAAAGTATTAGTCATAAAAAGACGAGTTCAAGTGTCCAAGTGTCTCCATTTAGAAGGCACAGTAATTGGATTAGTGATGCTGTTGCCTATTACCTGTCTTTTCCTAAATGTACATTTTGTACTGCTTACTCTATCCCTATTTATAAACCTAAGATACAGAGCAACATGGAGTTCTCAATTCAAGCCCATGACTTGCTTTACAGTCTAATTCCAATCATGATTGAGAAACACTGAATCAGGAAGTGTGTGTCTAAAGAGACACTAATTTAGATCTCAAAATAGATTCAGTCAATTTTGAGTTTTAGATGATTGGAGACAGGGAATTTCTAAGCCTGGAACCCGATAACTTCAGGAGCAACTTTCCAGTTCAGGGTCTGAAAATTAGAAAAATGGATCTCATGAAAGTTTAAGCACAGTATTTCTGACTACTGCAAATTAGATAGCAGCATATCCAAAAATGACTTTCTGTGATGATCTATCATGGACCTGGGCAGAAGACTGAAAGGCAGGAAAAATACATTGCAAGGTGGTGAGCAATCACTACTACATGGGTTAAAAAATGTAAGTATCCTCCAAGTACTCAATCTATATGTGTGGTGTTGCTCATTCATTTGCTGTCTCAGTTGTTTGCTCTTTGTTTTTATCTGTATTTTTATTATTTTTTTAAGAAAAAGAAACACCAACCTTTAAAAGCCTTTTTGCCATCACCACACACATAGCAATTTGCAATATCAAATACAACAATAGCACAGCTAGCAAAAGGGTTCTTAAAGCAGGGGTGTCCACAGCAAAGTAGCGGCATTAGAAAGTACTTGAGCTTCAGAAACAACCTTTTGGGGCTCGATTTCACATCACTGAATCAATGAATAGTACACAATAAATGACCATTAACTTGTCTACACTACAAAAAACAGTGGCGAGCTTATTAAAGGTGTCCAGAGCTTTTTTTTTTTTTTTTTTTTTTTTTTTTTCTTTTGCTTTTTTTTAAATGTAATCCTCCACAAACAATGGTAATTTATATTATAATTTTGACATAGAAAAATATATAAATTCAAACACTTAATACATAATACTTTTCACAACTGAATTTGTCTCTGTTTCCCCAACATCAAGGCCCCATGAACAACTCAAGCCAAAGCTAATTTGCTCTAACTGAACACCCCTGCTGCCTGTTGAAACGAGAGGGATTGTCACAGAATGATAGTCATTTATAAACAATACATTTAGGGAAAGCTCTGAAATATAGCCACTCAAGAACCAACCATTGGTGAGCAATTAAAATGAGTAGCTCCTACATCTTCGCTAGCCAACGTAGTTTCTTTCTCTTCTTCCCAGAGACTGGTTTAGAGAACGATATCCTTCAGACGCTTCACACCAGGGGACTCTTTGTCGCGACCCTCCTTCAGAATGGGGTTAACCTCATGCATGATTTTCTCGCTGTCAGCTCCACGGGGCTCAGCTTCAGAGGGACGGGAAGGGCCATTGTTGACATTATTGACATACTGCTCCAGATCACGGGCCGGGGGAGCCAGGGCAACGGTGTAAGACATGGAAGGCTTGGTGGGCAGAGGGCTCTTGAGGTGGAGGGGGGAGGTGACAGGGCTAATCGCCTCACAGCCATTGCCTGCCTCCCGGATAGCGCCATTGACCTTGGGACTACAGACGGTTACATCGACAGTCCTCTTCCCTTTCAGGGTGGACCTCTCCTCAGCTGGGTGATCGCTGACATCTTTCCCAAAGGTTGCAAAAGTCCGCTTGGTGGGGCCGCAGTCGTCGTAAGCTTCAACATCAGCAGCAGTAGCTTCAATGGAGAGCGCGATGATGTTCCTCACATGCTCAGGAGACTTGGAACGAGTGGGCATGGGATTCCGGGGCATCCAGCACCTGTCAGAGTGGCCAAGAATCCGGCATTCTTCTCTGCAATGAAACCCTTCATTCTGATCTGTTTGGAGAAAAGAAAATGTCAATTTCATCAGCTTTTCCCCAGGAATCAGTGTTACTCACCAGTGTTCTTGTTTCTTAGGTATCCACAGGCCCTTCTGGGAAATGGTACTTTTAGATAGTCCTTTATTGCCTTTTGGGACAAGTGTGAAGAATTGTATTTTTAAAAGGCTATAGATCTCCCCCTATATACTCCTCTGTTTTTATTGTTGTTGCTGTTCCCACTGCTGACAAAACAAAAAAACCTAAAGGGAAACACATTATGATGAAAAAATATATTTTAAAAAAAGTTTATCGTGAGTGTCAAGATGCTGAGAGTCAGCAATTTCATCAATACCTCCTATTAAAAATCATCTGTGTTTGAAAATGGATTCAGCAGAAGAGGGAGTACAGTCAGGGCAGGAAATCCAACAGGCAGTATATCTAAATAGACTTGGCCATATTTTTGAGCAACAGAACTGCCATCCACCCTTGTATCCTACCCATCACTGACACATAGTGCTTAATTTAAGTTTAGATTAGTATCGCAATCCCTTTAAAAGTCCACTCACATCATTTCTTTTTTCTTTTAAAGAGAGAGAGAGAGGAGAGAATTTCAATATTTATTTTTCGGTTTTTCAGCGGACATAACATCTTTGTTTTTTTGTATGTGGTGCTTAGGATTGAACCCGGGCCACACCCATGCCAGGCGAGCGCGCTATCACTTGAGCCATATCCCCAACCCAGACATCATTTCTTCTTGACCACTATTCCTATCAGCCAATCTCCTCACTATACCATTTCTATGATTGGATTTCCCATCAGATGAACTACACTGAGATCCCTTCCTTCCAGATAACCCATATGCTTCAAATGCCTATGCACACATCCCTTATATGTTGGGCATCATTTAATTAGATCCAAATATCCATCCCTCTTTATCTTTGTTATCTACAGTTTTATTAGGGAAATATTCCTTAAACTAAAGAAATATAAACTGATGATGGGAATGTGAATTAGTATAGCCATTATGGAAAATAGTATAAAAGTTTCTATAAAAATAGGTCTACCATATGATCCAGCTGTCACTATAGTAGTAGTGATAATTAGACACAATACCTTTATTTATTTTTATGTGGTGCTGAGGATTGAACCCAGCGCCTTGCACATGCTAGGTAAGCACTCTACCTCTGAGCCACAAGCCCAAGAAGGAATAAGTTTTAGTGTTCTACAGCATAGTAGGGTGACAATAATATACAATAATCTATTGTATACTATATTTGAGAAAAAATAGTGGAGAGGAGCTTGAAGGCCCCAAACATGAAGAAAAGATAATGAGGTGGAAATGTTAATTACCCTGATCAGTACAGGCTGTATGCATGCATTGAAATATTACACTGTACCACACAAATACATACAATTCATTATATGTTAATTAAAATCAAATATAAATACTTCATGGATTACTTTTAACTCTATTATTGAAGATCTCAGCAGCTAGAATTCACAGCTATTGGGGTGAATATTTTTCTCTTTACAGATTAGGTTCATTAAGGGTTAACAAGTTATTTAACTCTCAGAGGGGCTATCTACAGAGACTGTTTCACCAAAGCATGGCCTCATGGTTAATATCTGTCACTTCATTGGAAAACTGTTCATTTCAATGTCTAGTTTATAACCCTAGTTCCCCAGACCCATTTGTATTTATGTTACATTCTTGCATTAGGATGATCTGATGAAATTTTTCATCATTTTGCACAATGCATCAAAATATCAGAAGCCTAGCATTTATAGAAAACCTTGAGGCAGAGTTGGAGGAATTGAGGAAATTAAGAGAGATTGCAAAAATGAAAAGTGTGTGTGTGTGTGCGTGCGCATACCCAGGCACAGACTTGTACACCAAAAACAAGTTGGAAACATATGCTCTGACTGCTTTTTTACAGGGGTAAAAAGCCTGCAATTCAAGTTCTTGCTTGAAATCAGTATTTATAAAACAAGCCAGCTTTGTACACTTGCATTTCTATTTTTGGAGTGTTTTCTGTTTGATTCTTGATTCTAAAGAGTAAATGGCATTGCAGAGCAAGGTACTGCCCTTCCTCATTCACCAAACATTCATTGGTGAATGGGCCCAGGGAAGGGAGCTCAAGGAAAATGGCTAAATTGGTTGTACATTTCAACATTTGGAGAAAAGCAGTTAAAGGTCAAGGATCTAATCCAAGCTGAGTCCAGATTTGAACACAACTCTGGGCATGGCCCATGGCTTCATTTATGCTACTTAAAAGACCCCATCTGTGTACCTGGACACAATTTGCCAATTTATCTTTAATAGGGACATTTTCTGCCCCCTTTCAATGATGGGGAATGAAACCTTCAGAGTTTTGCAAACTAAAGTGGGGAACTTGAGCTTCTCAGAAACTTCTCTACAAAGACCATGTTTACCTTCAGTTTACCCACTGCCTAAAAGAAATGAATTGCCCTTCAGAAAGGAAGAGACAAAAGTAATTTATTCAGCACCCCAAATAATGCAATCAATTTAAGTCGACCAACCAATCTTGCTAAACCTACCCTATATGAAGTAGAGTAATATGCAATTATCTGAGATGACTTATATTAGCTTATTACATATACTACTCTTACCTCATCCAAGTTAAGACTTAAATCTAAGATTTACTCACCCTTGGCCTAAATCTGATACCTGTGTTTCCTTTTGTCCTTACCAAAGACAGTGAGTTGCTGTTTATAATTTTTTTTTGTTTCACACAATACTTCATGACATTTATGTCAATACAGTTAAAACAAATCTAACCTAGCTTTAAAGTATTTATACCCATTTTATGTATGAAAGAAAACACAGTTAATGTATAAAAGCAGGAAGAACATCTCTGCCCAGCACAAGGTAACCTACATACATAAATGTACTGCAAATGAATTACCTTTCAAAAATCAAAACTTCAGCTTAGTAAATAAATTAAGTGTTGTATTAAAAGTAAGAAATTTACAATATAAGAATGGCAATAAAGAAACCTGATGAAAAAAAGTGAAGATACTATTTCCAGAATGACACAGTACTGGTAAAGATTATGTGCTAGACACCATGTATTCCAGCAGCTGGGGACAGAACTATGAGACTAGAAAGGAACCATTTCATATCATCAAAAATAACTTGTTAAGATGCTGGCCCCTGCTTTAACACAGGTAGGCCAAAAATTCACTGACTCCCTGCTAAAATTCCTCTATGAGCCTATTTATGACTTAATATTTTGCTACATCTTTATCTGAAAGTATTGACCTAAACCTAAGCAAGATAAAATTGAAGAACCTAAAATCCACACATACTTGTGGAAATTCAAACACATTACTCTGTATGGATGAATTAATTTGCAAACTAATCTCCCCTGCTTCTTAAGTTGTCCCTAGGATTTGCAAACAGAAAAAAATAACATGAAGAAAGCATATAAATTTGGAAGAAGGAGTCAAATATTGAAGCCTGAAAACTCCTTAGTTCAAAACAGATCCAGTTATTTTAGATTATGAAGAAAGAGGAGGAACAGGAAAAGTATGTGGAGGAGGAGAAGGAGGAGGAGGAGGAGGAGGAGGAGGAGGAGGAGGAGGAGGAGGAGGAAAGTGATAAAGAAGAATAAGAAGCAAAAGCAGCAGCCATCTCTGCCAGAGACAAGATAAAACTTCTTCAATCTAGACAGTAATAAGTATTTTTGGTCACAGTTTGTCATTAGGGCCCTAGGTAAGGGAATTGCAAATCCACTGGCAAAAGAAAAAAAATATTAAATCTTAAATAAAATCTTAAATCTTAAAAGCATCAGACTTGTGAGGGTATGGGAGGCATAAGAGGCAACAATGTCTAAGTTATGATGGATAAGGAAGTAATTCAAACAGCAAAAGGCCAGAATATGCTATTTTGTACACACAATAGAAAACTTTGTGCATTGATTACTACCTTCCTTGGAATGTGAAACTGCTGTTTCTTCAGATGTGGGCAAACAATGTGCTTTTACACTAGAAAGAATCTACCCATGGTCCCAATCAAAGTAATACAAGAATATGTTGAAAACACCATCTTCAAGTTTTTCTATAACTTTAAAGTTCTAGCAGAATAAAGGAGCTGAGGTTCTATTGAGTTTGTAGAGATATCAAGTCACAATGGATATGTTCAATAATCCTGGCAGTTCTTTACTATGATTTGGAGTTTGGATGTATTAACTCAAAGATCCCAATGATCAGAGACAAAAATCCAATGCTAAAATAGTTCAAAGTTACACTTACAAGAGTTATGCATTATCTCTTCAGAAGCAATGTGAAATCAATGATGCAGAAAAGTTAAATTTAAATAGTTCCAGTTCCTGCAAACTCAAATATTTTGCTACTTCTAAGTAGCACCAGTAACATAACCTACAAAAAAATGATGTGTAAATCAGAATACCTTCCTAGATTGTGCTTTTTACACATCAATTTAGTATAATCTGTATCAGTTCATGAAAAAGGCAAACTATGACCAAAGCAGGACCAATATGAAATATAATGGAAGGGATTGTGACACTAATTATGAAAAAGTTAAGTACTATTAAAATTGGTCACATGTGCCTAATCAAGAAAACAGAAAAGGCAGGTGTGGTGGCACACAATACTCAGGTCCAAGTTTAAGGTCAGCCTGGGCAACTTAGCGAGACCCTATCTCAACATAAAAAGGGATATGGACGTAATTCAGTTGTAGAGCATCCCTAGCTAAGTTCAATCCCCAATACTGTAGTAGCTGTACTAGTACTAGTAGTAGTGGTAGTAAAAGAAGAAGAAAGAGAAAAAAAAAATTTTTGAGCAATATCACCCCTTGACCTACCTAACTCCCACTTATCTAAAGCAGAGATAACTAATTGCCTACCAAATATCTTTATTTTTTTAAATAACAAAGACTCTCTTCTATTAGGGATGGCAATGTGTGCAGCTAAAAAGTCAACGAACATTCTAGGTCCTCCCTGATAGGGATGACCATATAACTAAGATTGGACC